TATAGATACCACATTTTCTTAATCCATTCATCAGTGGTGGGGTATCTTGGCTGTTTCCATAACTTGGCTATTGTGAATAGTGCAGCAATAAACATGGGTGTGCAGGTGCTTCTGGAGTAACCTGTGTCACAGTCTTTTGGGTATATCCCCAAGAGTGGTATTACTGGATCAAATGGTAGATCAATGTTTAGCTTTTTAAGTAGCCTCCAAATTTTTTTCCAGAGTGGTTGTACTAGTTTACATTCCCACCAGCAGTGCAAGAGGGTTCCTTTATCCCCACATCCTCGCCAACACCTGTTGTTGGTGGTGTTGCTAATGATGTCTATTCTAACAGGGGTGAGGTGGAATCTTAGTGTGGTTTTAATTTGCATTTCCTTTATTGCTAGAGATGGTGAGCATTTTTTCATGGGGTTTTTGGCCATTTGAATTTCTTCTTTTGAGAAAGTTCTGTTTAGTTCACTTGCCCATTTCTTTATTGGTTCATTAGTTTTGGGAGATACACTAATTAAAATTTAAAAGAAACTCTAAATTGGCTCTTCAAGTACATTTTTATTCTTCAAAATGAAATGTAAAATTATATATGCTAAATTATAAATGTAAATTATAAATTCTAAAATTATATATACTTGAGTATATGAAGATTTTCCTTCTTGGGCAGAAGTGTGCTTACATATGCATACAGTCTTTAACTTGAAAATATAGGTGACATTCTATAGATTGATGATGCAAAAGGGCAGGTGTTGAGGACCTGAAATTTTATTAGATAATTATTTTTTAAAAAAGCAATTCAGCAAACTTTCTCTGCTGATACATATATGTATATTATATGTATATATATACATATGTATAATTCACATATTATATATGAAAAGACATATTGAGAAGAAACATCACATCTTAGAAATTGCTCAAGAATGAAGAATAAAATATACTCTACTAAAATGACTGGACTTTTTGTGGATAACAAGTGATCTTTTGAGAACTCCATAGCCCTAAATTTCCCAGTTTTGTTTAAAAGACAATTATGAATTCAGAATCAATGAGCCTCCCCAACACTTAGTTTGTGTTCCTAACATATCATCTTCCCACTAAAAGAGACAAGTCTCTAAAGTAATGGTTGATTCCAGTTCCCAAGAGTGAAGAGTACAAGGTAAATCAGACATCTTTTCACTTCCAATAATATGGAAAATATTAGAGACTAATAACACTGGGTCACAATATATCTAGAGACAATCTTGGCATGATAGCCTGGTGTATGCAGAAACAAGCCTACCTGCACTCCAGAAACTGATGGAGGAGGACTGTGAGTTCAAAGCCAGCCAATGTGAAATTCAAAAACAATCTGAAACTAGAAGAACTGGGGTAATTATTAGGAAACGTGAAGGGTACCAGTGAGAGGGGGATAGGTGAGAATAATGGGGATAAATACAATCAAAATACCTTGATTACTTGTATACAACGTCAAAATGAAACTCATTCTTTTTGTAATTAATTTTATACTAATAAAAAAAGAAAAAAATCTTCATTAAGAACACATCTATCAATAATAAAACACTGAATATGTTGTTGAAGTGGAAATTTCCTATGAACAAACTTCCCTTATGAATGAGCTCTTATGAATGAAGAGTTGCTATGAGTCCACCTTCCAATGTTCCTCACCCTGCTATCCTTCTACACTGAGTCTACAGATGCAGCAGCAGAGTGACAGACTCAAGTCACTCAAGTTATAAATATAATATTTCTTTTCCAGAACTGTACTATTGTTTTAGAAAAATCTTGGAATTTGTTTTCAAAGTCCTTTAAAATAAACATTGCAATACTACTTGATGTGGCATAAGAATACATCACTAATGATGAGTAACAACCATAATGGGAACTGATTACAATGTTAGTGGTAACAACTGGGATATTTGTGGAGACCTTAATAACAATGATGTGGATGATGGCAAAGGTGGTAGTAGGAATGATGATGACAATGATGATGGTGGTGATGGGTTTTTTGGTGCTAAATATTCCAATGCTCCCTTGAGAGTGTAAGTTTCCATAATTGCAAGATGAGTCTACAAATAAAAGAAAAGTTAACACAATTGGGAGAAGAAAAAAAACATGATTCATAGAGCAGATGTAAGCAAGGCTCTAAACTCTAATTGTTCCTTTAGAGAGGACAACTGTCTCTGGAGTGACTACATCCCAGGAGAAGTTCTGTGTATACACATGCATGCACAGAACCCCAAATCTCCATCACTCATTTTCTTGACCATGCTGGATCCTTTGAGTAAACTTAGTTCCATATATAAATCTATACTGGTCTAGTATTTCTTGATTGTTGAAGTCAAAGCCATCCCCTAAAGTTTCCAGAAGGTATTTCATTGTTCTACAGCACTGGTCTTTAATTATATACTTTAAAAATTGTATGAAAAATCTTTCTTCTGTGAACTCTTCTTAATTATGCAGGATGTTTACAACCATATGTTTGTTTCTCTTCATCTTCAAGTGCTTTGATCTCTGTGTGTCGTGTTCTCATCCACAGCAATCCTGAGCCTCTGCATGCTTGGGAAAGCTAGAGGTAAAAATTATAGTAACTCATAGGGAATAAGTGGTCCATGTTTGCCATGTATATATTATTAGATGATGTTACCGTAAAAATCTAAATTCAGGCTATCTAAGCTTCTCATATACAATGGTGTTCCCACTTGCACTGCACTGAATGACATATGTACTCTGTCTTATTGTAAAGCACATTGATCTATAGTAATATTTATAAAAGGTGCATTTTCTCTATTATTATTTCTAGAGGCAGAGACTGAGTCACAGAAGGTGTGTAGGGCTTTCTTAATCTATTATTTTTAGGTGAAAATAATATTCAAAAAATTAAAACTACATTTGAAACTAGTTATTATGAAGTTGGGCAACGTATCATCAATAATTTAATTTTTAAAAAGCTTACAAAACAATGCAGATTTTCTTCTCTTCAGACCATATTGCAAGTGCCTTCAATGACTTTAATGACTCTTCTTATATCTAAGAAAAAGAAATCATGCCAATATTGTTATTAAAGAAATCAAATGAGGCAATGAGTTTTAAATCCCATGTTAAAAGGTAGCAAATTATTTTTGTAAAAATATACATTTTATGCATGTATTTATATCTATGCAAACAAAAATACCAAAAGGATAATCCCTACCAATGTTATCAGCAAATAGCAAAAATAAAAATATGAATATTGTTTTGTTTTTTGCTCATCTGTATTTCTAATATGCACAGAGCATGTATGGGGCCTTTAATGAAAAAGTCAACTGAATTTTGCATTAAGATCTCCCCTATGTCTCCAGAAACTTAATAAATTAATTTTATTAAACAATAAAAACGTTACACAAAGATAAACTACAACAAAACAGCTATAGTTTAGTGCAGACAACACAGAATGGTAATCAGAAGTCCAATATTTCATTCTGACCTCTGTCCTTACAATCCAGACTATCTTGGGTGATTTATTTAACTTTTAGAGCTTCAATTTTCTAAAGAATGAAAAACTATAATACTGTATCCCTCTTCTTCTATATTCTATGCACATATTAAAATGTCAAGTACTTCTTAGAGTACAGATGTACAGATTTGTAAGGCTAAGTATGGGGACAGGAAGAAGCTGAGGACCCAGGGAGAGCAGTGTTAAGTATGAATTCAAGTCTCCAATAATTGGTAAGCCTTGGACAAGTCAATGTCTGGAACGTCAGTTTTTCAATATGAAAATGGCAATAAAAATCCTTTACTAAATACATCTCACCCAATACCAAAAACTAGGGAGTCAATAGCAGTGACCTTGAAAAAAAATGTATAAACTATGGAGCACTTTATAAAAGTTAGTCATTATTTCAGGAACCAAAATAGTGAGAATTTCAGTTTTCAGCAAAGAAATTCATCCCACACATGAGGATTGTCTATGCATTACATTTGGGAATAAGGATCCATGCTTCGTAGAGACATGTCTACAATTTGAATATTTGCCATTATAAGTCTAACAATGCCATGTTTTGATCATACAATCTGAAAATAATTATGAAAGACCAATGGAGCACTTAGTAAGGACAAGATATATGCAGTGCCCAAACTGAACCTAAAAACAATTAAATAAGAGCACCTGTGTGTGGAACCCAGGCTTCAGTAATTTCCAAGAACTCCAGGTTCTTATGCAGCCAGTGTTGAGGCCATAGATTTATGATGTCAAGTCTGCAGAATCACTAAAAACATCTAATAATAAATCCCATTCTTATAGAAACTTAGAATTTGAAATAAGATTTTAAATATATATTCCTTCAAGTATTTTTGCAACCAACTCTGGCGTTCACATTACTCAGTTTCTTTATCTCTTGGATATAGAAATTGGCGTGCCACTCAAAAACTATGATATCACACTGACTGCTTCAATTTCAAATAGATATTCATGTATTTGTTGACTAAATATTACATACTACATAGATGACAGTGAAATTCCACTTCTAAAGCAAATTCCACCTCCAACTATTATAGTATAGTAGTATATTTCATATATACTACTTATCATAGTGTAGAGATTATCTAACTTTAGTGTGCATCAGCATCCTTAAAAGAATGGTAAATACAAGTTGGTGGGCCCATCTCAGATTGTCTGACTTAGTGCCTGTTGGATGAAAACAACAGGATCTCTAACAGGATCTAGGGGAAGGTAATGTTATTGATCCAGGGACATCTTGAGAACCACAGTTCTAGGCTATTTGACAAAAGGGAAATGACCCAGATCTTGGTCCCTTTCCTCTCGTCTTCAAGATCTTGGAAACGCTTTGGGACTGGTCCTCCTTTAAGCCAACAGCATAAGTGGGCAGAAGATGTATCAGCCATACAGAGAATGGCAAAGCATGAGGAAAATGCAAAAACCCAATTTCCCCAAGCAGAGCATACACTAAGTGGGCCACTCACAGGCTCCTTCTCTCCTATCCCCACAGGACTCCCACACAGAAACAATTATGACAGGAAATCACTCTACAGTGGTGGAGTTCATTCTCAGAGGATTAACTAACCAAACAGAGCTCCAGATCCCTCTATTCCTCCTCTTCCTGGGGAATCTACATAGTCACCATGGTGGGGAACCTAAGCATGATCACCCTGATTTGTCTCAGCCCACAGCTTCACACACCCATGTACTTCTTCCTCAGTAACTTGTCATTAGTGGATCTCAGCCACTCCTCTGCCATTACTCCTAAAATGCTGGTCAACTTTGTGTCCCAGAAGAACATCATCTCCTATGTGGGGTGCATGTCTCAGCTCTACTTATTCCTTGTTTTTGTCATTGCTGAGTGTTACATGCTTACGGTCATGGCTTATGACCGCTATGTGGCCATCTGCCAGCCCTTGCTTTACAACAACATCATGTCACATGCTGTCTGCTCTGTGCTGGTGGCTGTGGTCTACACTATGGGACTCATTGGATCAACAATAGAGACTGGCCTCATGTTAAATCTGAGCTATTGTGAGGTCCTCATCAACCACTACTTCTGTGACATCCTCCCTCTTATGAAGCTCTCCTGCTCTAGCACCTATGATGTGGAGATCATTGTCTTTTTTATAGCTGGATTCAACATTGTAGCCACCAGCATAACAGTCCTTGTTTCCTATGTCTTCATCTTGTCCAGCATCCTCCACATCGGCTCCACTGAGGGCAGATCCAAAGCCTTCAGCACCTGCAGCTCTCACTTTGCAGCTGTGGGACTCTTCTATGGATCATGTGCCTTCATGTACTTAAAGCCCTCCACAGCCAGTTCCCTGGCCCAGGAGAACATGGCCTCTGTGTTCTACACCACAGTGATCCCCATGCTCAACCCCCTGATCTACAGCCTGAGGAACAAGGAGGTCAAGGCTGCCCTGCGCAAGACCCTAAGGAGAAAACTCTTATGATGAAAATGTTAATCTTTCTGCACATAAGAATAGATGATTACAAACACCAGAAGGATGCTCTCTGCATGCTGGCCCATCTGTGAAGAGAAGCAATCACTTTTCTAATGTTAGAATGCATGCCTTATCTCCTTCTTTCCTCTTCCTTCTCCATCTCTTCTCCCTTTTCTGTTTGGTTTCACGGTCATATTTTATTTCACTTGGGATTCATTTTCTACTTTGTATTTTGGTTAACAATTAGTGTCTTGATTGCAACTTAGCTTAACCTAAAAATTACCTTCATTTTAGGAGTCACTTATGATCTCATTACTTTCAATATAAAAATATTACTGAATTCAATTCCTACTGTCTACACACAGGAGCACACAATCAAATGAAGGAGAATTCTAAAATTCACCAAGAATTGATATTCTTTCTTTTTCTCTTACTCTTCTCTTAACTTAATCTGGCCCAATAATTTCTACCTTAATTTGGCCCAATAATTTCTACCTTAAACTTTTATGTAATGCCTTTAGTAGCTATTATGGTTGAAATATGATATGACCCTCATAAGCTCATTTATTGGGAATTTGCTTTCCAGCTTTTGCAAGGTGATTCGATTAGGAGGGCTCTGACTTCATGAATGGATTAATCCACTGATGTATTCATAATTTGATGGCATTATTATTGGGAGGTAATGGAAACATTAGAATCTCAGACATGGTTCAAGGGAGTTGGTCAATTAGGGCATAACTTTGAAGGATATATGTTATACTCTGACCTTTCATTTCTGTTTCTCTCTGTTCCCTGGACACCAGGAGGTGAGCATTCTCTCTCTCTCTCTCTACTTTGTTTCTACTCAGGCCCAAATCAATGCATCCAGCCAACTCTGGACTTAAATTTCTGTATCTATGAGCCAGAATAATCCATTTTCCTTTAAATTGTCCTCTTGGGTATTTGTCACAACAATGAAAGGTCTGACTAACACAGTAAAAATAATAATAGTAACTAATACATTTTGATGCTTTCTCTGACATACAACTCTTTTTAGTGGCCTTCTCTCACTTACATCTCCTCTGACTGGCTGGTTGTGATGCAATCATTTCACAGGCCTATGATAGTTCTGAAAATTATTCTGTAAAATTTCTAAATGTTTGTTCTTTCTCCATCTTCATGGAGTTTTATCTTAGACATTCATAACTTATCACTCAAATATTCAAGCAGACTTCTACACAGATTTCTGGAGTCTGTGGTTTTAACATACCCATCACATATCCTTAGTCTCCCAAGTCTAGGACACTGAATTTTGTCAACTCAGCAAAAATGCTGTGCCATGTGTGCTCTCCTTTACTGGGCAAGGTAGTGGCATACACAGGGTCTCTAGACCACTACTCAAAGTGAACACAAGGCTCACCTTACATGTTTCTAACTTAGATCACAAATCAGCAACATCAGTTATCCAATGTCTAAAATAAAATGTTTTACAAATTTTGGCCAATTTTTAAATTGCTTATACTGTGATGGCTAGTCCAATATCAATTATGTGTCATGGCTAAAAAGTAGATATTATGATACTTACCTTTATGTGGCTGGCCTTTTGTCAATGACCAAACTTTAGAAGACAGAAAAAGAAAAGGCCAGAAAGAATAAAACAAAAATAAATACAAAAGAAAATACGTTGTGAATATAGTAAATGCTGAGTAAATACTAAACACTAGTGTACTTCTTTCTGGTTATTGTTTGCTTTCAACCCAGGGTTGTATATAAGGTTGGCAAGCATTCTGCTATTGAGCTAATTCCCCAGCCCAGAATCAATATTCTTAATACTTCATGTTCAAGAGTTTTTTCAGCGTACTAAAAGTAGTGAAGACCATATACTTCATGAATATTCTTATTGAATATATCTTCTTCACCATATTCAAAGAATATATTCTTCTTACAAAGATATTCTACTTCTTGTTATAAATAATAAAATCTACAGAGTATTTTGGAGGATTTTGAGAAGATGGTGTTATCAGTTTTTATCTCCAGGACACACCCATTGAAAAAGCAAAATAACTAAGTAGCAAAGTGCAATTCCAGAAAGAGCATTCATACCAGAAATAGGTCACATGCTGTTTTCATTAGCTGATGAGAACAAACCACCAACAGCTAAAAATCTACATGGCATTTCTATCTGCAGGTTAAAAAAGAAAGATGCAAAAGGAAATTGCTAAACCGGAAAACATAAACTGACTGAAAGGTATTCTATGAACCCTAATAGGTCAAATATGATATACTATCTAAAAAATAACTAAGGCAGAAAAGGTCTGGGGCATGGCTAAAGTTGTAGAGCAAACGAAAGGCCTTGAGTTCAAATTTCAGTATATGCATGTAAAGCCCAGTATATCTGTACACATACATATACACAGATATGTGAAGAGGCATATTGAGATGAAACACCACATATGAGAATATTGCCTGGGAATGAATGATAAAACACATCCTGGTAAAATTACTGTTCTTTCTATGGAAAAAAAAAGAGTGATCCTTTGAGACCTTTGTAAATTTTCTTGTTCTGTTTAAAGACACTGAAACAATGATGAATCAGAGGCAATGAGCTTCCCCAGCATTTAGTTTGTGTTCCTAAAATATCATTTCCCTACTAAAAGAACCAAGGTTCAAGAGTAATGGTTGATCTCAGGTCCAAAGAGTAAAGAGAATAAGATAAATCATAATTCTTTCATATCAGATGATAAATAAGGTATTAATTGAGTCACAATGTATATAGAGACAAGCCTAGTAAGGTGGCCCATGACTGTATTATCAAACACTTAGGGGGTTGGGGGAAGAGGAAGGAGGGAAAAGGAGAGAAGAGGAGAGGAATGGGAAGGGAACAAGTGGGTATGGGGTTGAAAGGCAGTGAGTGGGGGGGAGAAGAGAATAGGACAGGACAGGAGAGGAGAGAACAGGAGGGTACAAAGAAAGAAATTATCGAGAGACAAACTGGAGAGAATTTTGCAGGCCAAAGATAGAAAAAATTTGATTAACAAAAGAAAAATATCACAATATTTTGAAATACATAAAACATGCCTAAATTGGTAAGTTTTCAGTGATGTTAAGGGAAAATAGACACTCTGAAACCACTGCTTAGACCAGTCTGTACTCATGACACACTTCGCTTGCATACTCCACAACCATCTCTAACAAAGCCTATATGGTACCTGCACACCCATGTTTGTTGCAGTGCTATTCACAACAGCCAAGTTATGGAAACAGCCAAGATTCCCCACTACTGACAAATGGATTAAGAAAATGTGGTATTTATACACAATGGAATTCTACTCAGCCATGAAGAATGAAATCTTATCATTCACAAGTAAATGGATGGAACTGGAGAACATGACTCTGAGCAAGGTTAGCCAGGCTCAGAAGACCAAAAATCATATGTTCTCCCTCAAATGTGGACTTTAGATCTAGGGCAAATACAGCAATGTTGTAGGACTTGGGTCACATGCTAAAGGGAGAGCACATACAGGAGGTATGGGGATAGATAGGAAACCCTAAACAGGAAAGTGTTTGATGTCCCCACTCCAGAGGAATTAATACAGAAACCTTAAAGTGACAGAAGTCAACATGAGAAGGGGCTCAGGAACCAGTATAAAGATCAGTTAGAGATGAATCAACCTGGGTTGTAACACATTTGTGCATGAAAGCAATGCTAGGAATCTCTCTGTATAGCTGTCCTTATCTCAACTAGCAAAAATGCTACATCTTTCCTATTATTGCTTATTTCTACTCTTCAACAGAACTGGAGAAAAGTGCAGAACAGGTTCTGCCTAGAAGGAGGGGGAGGGGAAAAGGGTGAGGGAGGGGGCAGGAAGGAGAAATGACCCAAACAATGTATGCACATGTGAATAAATGAATAATTTTTTAAAAGGCAAAGGAACATATTTGGAATTCTCACAGTGAATTCCTCCACACAAGGAATATATCCTAATTTTAAAACCCCCAGGGACCAAAGATTGGAGGGAAATTTCCAATGTACTAGCAGTGCACAGAAGATATCCATGCTTCTCCTCAACAAGGAATAAACATGGACTTAAAAAAAATATTTTTGTTAAGGTTTTAACTTGTCTATCCATCATATGTTGCCAATATTTTGCTCCTTACTTTTTCATTTCCTTTCCCCTTTTTTAAAAAAGAAAAAAAATTCTTCTGTTTTTTCCTCACTTTTCCTGTCTTATTTACATACCTTTAAGTTAGTGGTTTATATTACTGTCAACCTTTCTGACCTTCTGCAAATGTTAACAATGTCACCTTTGTTCACAACAATTAAACTATATAGCGATATACCAGGGTCCTGTCCACCTGCATCCCTCACACTTCACACCCATTTTCCCTTTCTCCCCATCTTCTTCCTTATCTCCCCTCTAACCTCATTATTTTTACTACTTAAGTTTTAACTTCCATGCAAACAAGTTTCATTTTTCTAACCCCCTACTGTATATAGATAATACTGCCAAAGCTATTATAATTCAAGTAAATATCTGATTTGGTATTGAATTGGTGAATTTGTTATTACTATGTTATAACAGGCCAGTGGTCAAAAACAAGACAAAAACCTAGCCAATAACCAATCTTGCCAGAACATAGAAATTAATTCAAGTGAAAGACTTCAGGTAACTAAAACCCCCAAATAATAAAATGACTAAACATGAGCAAATCTTAAAATAGAAACATAAAAATATACACAACCCAAAACTTGAAAGTGTTTGGTGTCCCCACTGCAAAAGAGTTAATACAGTAACCGTAAGGCAACAGAGGTCAATATGGAAGGTGATCAGGAACTAGTGAAAAGGTCAGGTAGAGATGAATCAGTTTGAGTTGTAATACACTTGTGCATGGAAGCAATGCCAGGGATCTCTCTGTACAGCTATCCTTATCTCAACTAGCAAAAATGCCATGTCTTTTTTATTATTGCTATGACTTTTCTTCAACAAAATTGGAGAAGAGGGCACAACAGGTTCTGCCTGGAAGCGAGG